TCTAGTAACATGTCGTGACTTAAACATAAGAACATATTATGGCTAAGGCTACAGTTATACACGTCATAATAATAATATTAAACATCCTGTCTGCTGACAGTCATCAACTCTTCTCTCTAGTTATCCTTGACCAGATGTACCCTGTAGAAACTCATAAGCATGACTAAGCATTTAACAGTCTAACTAGACATCCTATCTCCACTAAACATTTCTAATACATAAAGTATCTATCCAATTTCTATCTGACTAAAAATACCTAACAGTTTGGTTAGGCTTAGGCACAAATACAACTTGGTTGCTTTAAAGAAAGATTAAGATTTGGGTTTGAGGCTAGACAACCTTTGTAATCTTGGTTGCAATGAAAAACAAGTGATTAAACAACTTTGTTGGTTTGTAACGGACTTCAAAGTCCAGTGTTTTGTTAACTTAACCATCCACCTCGATTCCTTGCTATGCACCATAATCACTACAAAATACGCAGTGTCGGGGAATTTGCTGAAAAGACTGGTAATGTCTCACATGGCCACTAGATGTCGCTTAACAATAAAATGGGTCATATTCTCATTCAGTGAACAAACACCTGGAGTGTTCTTGTCACTCCTCTGAAAATACTGCATGTACTCAGGGAAGGATGTGTCTGACATTCTGGCTTTGGTAGAAAGAAGGTGACCATGGATGGCCAACAGCGCCCCCTGCAGAAACTGGGAAAAGTTTTCTTTTTCCTGGTTAAATAAGGCACAAGCTTAGTTGCACAGACTGTAGAAAGTGCAGTGCCACATGACGGAGTATCAAAATGTGATGGAGCATCAGACATTCTGCTTTTAATGCTTGTTTGTTACTTTACCACAGCCAGTAGGTGAGGACTACTGCCTTGGAGAAGCAAGGCAAAGGAAAAAGCCTTGTTGCCTAGAGATGAGAATCACAATTTCCAAGTCTGGCAAAAAGTGTTGTTTTCTTACAGGAGTATAGTTCAATGTGAATGCCTGTACTTTGTCTGATGTCAAATTTGAAGTTAGCAATTTTTTTAAATAAAATCATGAAGTCACATTAAAACATTACACTTAGATTCACTGTGCGTGATTATCATATTAAGATGAAAATATTTTATACTCACATGTACTGTGTGTACACACGAGACAGAACATGAAACAAAGGTTTCCAGACAGCAGCTACCAGGAGGCTTTAACTAGTAAGAGTGATGTTTATTACACACATGTACCATCAGCACAGTTATTACAGTATCCATCCCATCCATTGTACTGCTTATCTTGTACTGTAGAATAAAGGTAGTTCTAATCATGTGCAGCAGAAAAAAAAAGAATATTTTCTTTCTTAAACCCATAAACCCATTCTGATTATTATTACAGAAGAAAATGCTTAGACAAGCAAAACAAAGGTTGACTTTATAACTGATTAAACTACAAAACAAATGTGATATGAAAAAAGCCTTTAGGACAAATTCAGCAGCTGAGATTCAGTAAAGAGAAGGATTATAGCTGCTAACGTGATACAGCAGCAGGACTAGCTCTAACTCTGTGGAAGTGCAAGTTCCAAACCAATATCTGGAGGTCAGGCAGGTCGTCTCCTATCAGGAAGGTTAGTGGTCCGATTCCCGGCTTCTCCAGCCCGCATGTCTCTGAGCAAGACCCTCGAGTTCAAGTTGCTCCCAGTGACGCGAGTGTGTGTGTGCATGGGAGTGTGAATAGCTGAATGGACAAATAGTGTGCTGCAAAGCAAGGTACAAGTGTATGACCATTTACCATAACACCAAATAATGTGCTTGCTAGTTAAGTAGGTGTTTGTACCCAGGAAACCTTTGATGCACACCAGTTCAGCACTGTGCTGAATTGCACTGCAAATCAACAACTAAAAAACTGTGGTTTATGACCCATTCACATGGGATGGCTAGAGGTAAGACATTTACAGTATTTTATGACTTGTGCCTACTTGTACATGGCACGTTAAACAAATTATGCACATTACTGTTAGGGTTGGTGTCTCTCACCAGGAGGTGAGAGACAGAAAGAGAAAGAGGACTCAGGGTGCAAACTCAGTGCTAGTTGGACAGAAAAAAAAGTCTTTATTACAATATCTTGGCAGATGTAGAGGACAAAGTCAATGGAGTTAATGTGGTCCAAACCAGTGTTGAACTGTGGAGGCTGAAAAGACCAGGACGGGCAGGTGAGTGGATTGACAATGCAGCAGCACAGAGGAGAAGCATGCGATCCACAGTGAGATGTAGCAGAAATCATACAGGCATGAGACAGGTCCAAGTTGCCGCGGGGCTAGAATGAAGCATAGCGTAAATGGAATTCATGTGTGGCCGCATTGAACGAAAACCTCGATCTCAACGTCAATGATCTGGCGACAAAGGAGCGTTTGCCAGCACTTTATGTAGGGATGGTTAGGTAATCAGGGGATGCAGATCAACTGTGTCACTGAGCCTGCAGGATGAGAGAGAGTGGGAGAGAGAAAAGGAAAGAGGCAGGTAGCGCCGAGCCGACTTGACAGTTACTGGCCAACCTGAGAGGCTATATGACTACAGAATTAAATCTTCTATCATGTTTCATAAAAGAGTTCTGTAATTGTAGTTACAGATTACTTGCTGTGTAAACATATTCACAAGGTGTAAATTACTGTAAGTTCTAATTGCAGCATTGGGAAATGGTCAGTTCAGTTCTGTTTCAAATTCTAATGGCTTCAAGTTGAAATTGCTGAAAATGTTTGACAGTGTGGTGGGTGTTTATTGTGAATACACATACTGTATGTGTGTACAGTCCTTGACGAATCGTCAGCATCCTCTCCAGCTGATGTATTAGATAGAAAGAATGGAGCCGCAGTGTTTTGTTTTACTGCAGGCTGGTAAACTCTAGTCTCACAAATGGGGGGAAGACATTAAACTTCTATATTTTTCTAACCATGATTGTATCTAGTATCTTCAAACCACACTTTCAGTTAATATTATTAAACCTTTCCTAGCTGACTTTAACCGATGAGGATGATCAAATGGTCATTATTATTGGTAAAGCTCCCCAAAACCAGCTGCTAATGTGCTGGGATCCCACTTGGTGGCTGTTTACAGTAAGCTGTGAACAGGGCTTTTTCTGAAAAGAACCGTAGGCAGGCTGGGGATGTGATAGCCCTTAGACATGTTGTAAATGTTATCTAGACAGGCCTGCTATACCTTGTCCTTGAAAATTCTGTTAAGATACAAAAGACTCACTGTATTTCATACTGTTGCTGCAGTAAACCCACGTTCCTGCGTTTGTACATGCACATACAGATATGGTGTCTGAATGCTGGACACCAGAAGTTTTACCCCCAAGGCAGAAAATACAGAGTCACTTCCAACACCCTACTACAACATGTGTCTTTAATCAGATGTCCAAGAATAAGGCCTAAATATTTCAAAACGCTTATGATAGTATTAGATGTATATACTGTACTTATACATAGCCATAATTTCATATGTAAATGTGAAATGTTACTTGCATGTATTCAGTATTATATTGATTGATTGTTGCAGGTTACTGGCACATAGTCATGTAACAGAACGACCACATGCTGGTCCTCGGTTGTGCTTTTCAACATCCTGCATGTGTCAGCCTAAAGTACTTTGGCAGTGTGGCTGGAGGCGACTGCTGGCTGGAATTACAAGAAGACATCTAAGGAGAGGCATGAAGTACAAACAGGCATCGCAAGACTAAAAGAAACAAAACCATCACATATTGTCAGTCATGTACAATCACGTAATGGTCGACTGATAGATGCGTCATTTTACGTTTAGTGACACTGTTAATGTTACTGTTTCAGGATTTAGTTTTCTAATTGTGTTTTCTTGTGTAAATCATTTGGACGTAGCTATTTTTTGATTTTTTAAAACCAGAAACACCACATATGCTATTTTGTTCCCCATTTTAAATATAAAAGTCCTATCTACACTTTGACACTAAGTGATTTGAGATAAAAGGTGCATTATGTTTCCTCTGATATTTTATATTTGCATTTGAAATAATCCATAACTAATGATTATTTTTACATAAAAAGTTGTATATGTTCATTTCAGCTAGTTCCAAAGACAAGTACAAAACATGTAGTAATTATTAGAAATTAACAAAAAGGTAATTATAGGAGTAGTGTGGTAGTAATTATCTAAAGACATTTCCACATTTCACAATGAGCATTCCTTTGTCTGTCCGCATGTGTATACTGCTTATTTTGCATTGTTTGCACTGTTTGTTTCTGTTAATGCTGCTTATTTTGTTATATTACACAGCCTTATGCTGGTTTACTGTTTACTTGCCCCTTGCATGGGGATATGTACATGCACATTGACAGTCAATGTACCAGAGTCAAATTCCTTGTGTGCCCGACACACCTGGCCAATAAAGCTGATTCTGATTCTGATTCTAACTTCTGGAGTCATAAGGAAGTGCAGAGCCAA